AAATATCATAAAACAATTTATAGTAACTTTTTAACAGGAAATGAATGATTGTATCCATCTCAGTACTAATACCTCTCAAACAGATTTAAGCCCTTAGCGATAGCGAATTGGAATATTCACACATGAATTATAATGATGTGTGTCGGTGCATACACGTGTGTGAATGTAATTCTACAACATGCCATATTTCAAATAATTCAACAAAGATTATTCAACAAAGATTTTGCAGTAGTTCTTAAATACCAAACAAACCATAAGATGTGTAACCAAAATAATGTTGGAAAAAATTGAGTTTGTGGGTGACTTTGGCACGAATTTTGAGCGGGACCCATTTGGCTATTTTGGAAGATGAAAGTTGATTTGTGTTCTCTTTCGTGAGTACATCGAAATCATATACTTATTTGTAAAAAATGATGCTCGGATGAATGAAAAATTGAAACTCAAAGTATGCCATGTGAAATGAGTTTATGTTGGTGGGAAAACTAAAAATAAGTTTGTCCCACATAAGAAGTAGATGAAAACTAAAATCACTTTATAAATGATTGTACTTTAGAATTGTGTAATCATGTGTAGTATAGAGGCTTTCTCCACGTGCGCGCCCTAAAACTCCCATTGTAATTGCCATGAAGTAAGTGGACATGTTACAAGATCCAAAATCTATATATACCTCGATTTTTTTCCAGTTTTCAGTACAAGAAGTCATCTGAATGTTCATCTGCATGCAGTTCGAGTTTTGTCTCTGTTTTCGTTTCTGGTTGAGTCTGGTGGTTATATTGTTCGGGCTTTAACTCAGTTTGTCAGAGTAAAATCTGTGATGCTCAGATTCTACAGTTCCATTGTTGTATCTTGGGAAGCAGACGCTCAAATTACACATCAAGCGTGTACGGTGAGGGGACAAATCTGTTTTAAGGAAACTGTGTGTAATACAGGTCTCGGGTAAAATTTTTTTTTTTTTTTTGTTCCTTCTTGTTGTTCACTTTGTATATTAGTATTTTGCAATTCTTGTTTAATTATTTACTAAAATTTATAAATCATTTATATATAATTAAATATGTTACAATCAAATTTGTATGCAAAATGATATGAGAAATTATGGTGTTTAAGCTTACCGCAAATACGGTATCTATTCTATACATCCGGTACTCAATCCGATATTATGTTTAGTGAAGCTTTTGAAACAATTATCTAACAAATAAATTATAAGATATCATCTTGAATGTCTAAAGCAATTCCACTGTAAAAGATATAATTAGTCACGTAGAAGATAATTTTATTAATAAACAATAAATGTAAAATTAATCTAGATAAAGATGATAATACATGAAAAGTACGCGGCGTCTCAATTTTAGTCAATTTAAACACTAACCTTCCTCGTTAACTTTGTGAGATTGTCCGAAGAACATTTTAATAAAAAGAGCATCATAGTCACTTTGAATGACTTGAATGGTCTTATTTAGGGTGTGTCCGGTCCCGATTTAGCTTGAATTATAAGCAAAAATGTTACCGTTGCTAACCCATTACCTTCATGTATTAAATGCTAGCAGACCACCTATTCAGTAGTGGCACAATGAGTCAAGTCCGGAAATTCCATTATTGCCCAATGTTTTATTTTCAGTACATTACCAGGAGAAATTCACTTGAGGGCAATTTCGGTACTGGGCCATATTTTCTGCCACAAATCTATCACGTGGGCCCGATTGATTTTCAGCAAAAA